TCAGAGAAGTTACTTGTTGCTATTCTTATTACTGATGGGTCCAACAACACTGATTTAATATCTTCAATATCCTCTGAACTAGCTGTATCTGCATATAAAATACAAAGAACTGATAATTTTTCCTTTTTTCTTGTAGAGAGCTACTAAAAGAGCAGCTATAAAAGAAATAGTACCAAGGGAGCAATCTGTAATGGATGCTTTATGTAAGGGAGGGTGAAATGGGACTTCATAATTCAATTTACTGAAGTTTTCGCGGTCCCGGTTTGACAATATACTGTGAAGGTACTTACATGATTGTGTCTTCTTTACACTAGATCTCTTTCTCCATATGCAAATTGATATAGCTGAGATTAAACCAAGTATTGTTGCAACAGGGAGGACAATTGGCAGGATTGCAGGGCTACTGCCATTTCTCCTTGGGTTGCTGCTGATTGCATTTGAACTATTGCCATTTTCCTTGGCATTAGTACCATTTCCTTTGTCTGCACACATATAGAAACAATTAGGCCTCTTTTAAGGTCACCGGGGGGGGGGGGGAGTTTCCCCATCTGAATATATTACCGTTCAAATGGCTATAATGTAACGCCCACATCAGTGCGGGCTGCGTTATGGAGGTCATTGAAGGTTGGACAGAATATTGGGTGTCGGCTGACTAGGCATCGGCAAGCATGGTGACTACACACTAGTAGTAGCAGACATGCGGCGACAGCGGCCATCCTCCGTGATTTAGTTTTGCTTCTCTAACAAAAGGGTAAATGGGTACTTTTTTTTGAGGAAAAAATGGTCTTCTTGTTCTTGTTAGAGAAAGATCCTGACTTGCCATAGTAGCTCACTGATGATGAGGATGGAGACGTGGTAGGTATGTGACCGTGCCCAAAGGTTAGTCCTAGTGGTGAACCGAAATGTCGGCAGTGTCGTAGTGATGATGATTTTTAGTGCAGAAAATTGCGAGGACAACCCGCCTTGACAAAATGTTGACAAATCAACATGTTCACAAAACATTAATTTATGAAATGTAGAAAAATTCAAACATTTTTTTGGGAAAATTCAAAACTATACTTCATTTTTTTAAATAATAGTATAAATGTTATATAAAAAATATATGAAATATGGCAATGGGGTGGGATGGTTGGGTAATCTAACCTAACTATCCCGAGCCCACTCTTCTTGGACCGGCCAAGGGCCGTTGAAGCTCAGGCCTGCACGTGATTGGTCTAGTACACGCCCCTCCAATCTACTACTACTGTTGCTCTATAGGTTGGAAGGCTGTACGGGCTTCAGCCCATGCCCTGATTTCGGCAGAAAAAAGGAGAGTAAAAACGCGAAATCCCAAATTAAGGAGTACTCGTTGCAAAGAACACTTCACTTTCTCAGATCACGACATTTATTCAAAACGTTTTATCTCTTAAACCGTGCGTCCAAATCTCGAACCGTTTTCACCATTGGATTCCTTGCGTCGAGATCTTCAAAACTAGATCCCATGTTGATAGGTTTTGACGAACTTTTTTTTTCACGAAATAAACCAAACGAAAAAAACCGGATGAAAAAACCGTACCAGGAGCACGGTTTTTTCCCTTTCCGAAAGAGGCACGGCCGTGACTCTCGCGAAAGCACAACCTTGCCTCTCATGGAAGCAAAACTGTGACTGTTGTGAAAGGAAAAAAAACAGAAAACGCGTTTTTTTTCGTTTCCGAGAGGCACGGCTGTGACTCTTGCGGAAAAGCACAACCATGCCTCTCGCGAAAGCAAAACCGTGACTCTCCCAAAAAAAAACAGAAAACGCATATTTTTTTCCCTTTCCGAGAGGCACAGTCGTGACTCTCGC